CAATGTTAAAAATAATGTGCCACTTAACCTGCTATTGCATAATTCAGAGTAGAGTCTTAACCGCTTCAGGTTTGACCGATAGTGAAAACAAACCTTAATTGAGTGCAGATAATTGGGGCTTTCGTTAATTCACTAGTAAGCGCTTGAGTCCACACGCTTATTGGTCGAGTCTTCAGTTGAAGTACACTCATTTCCTAATATTGTGAGTACTGTAGAGTTCAATCACCTTTCAAAGTGCAGGTTTTTTTGTATTCTCCGATAATTCCACTAACTCATCGGTTTTAGTAACGACTTAAACTAAATTAGTAACTGCCACTACAAAACTGTTATTTTAAATCTAAACATTTTGCACATTAAACACTTAATAGAACTTTCCAAAAGGTCCCGCATTTCCGGGTTTCTTTTTGGGAACGAAACTATACAATAAAATTATTTTGTAGAGCTTTAGCACTCATTGGCATACATTTAGTAAAAAAACAATCGAAAGAGAACTTAAAGCAATATAAAGTTATAGCAAAAAGATTTTGTCATTCACCCTGGGTTTTGCTAAGCATTTAGTGGCGCAATGAAGGTGAAAATGCAGCAATCGGATTTTAAAAATCATATCTTTGATTTTTTATTTTGTACTGAATCAAAGCATGTTTGTGGTGCAAGTGTCAGTAGTATTAATCTTCGCTTTAAAGAAAAGCTCGGTCTACTTCTTAACCAAAAACCATTGAAACTAAGTGTCAATCATAACTTCTGTGAAACCATTTATAAATAGAATTTAAGTTCCAACTCGGGGTTGCGCGTGGTGCACCCTGGGCAACGTATACTCATACAGCAAAAAGATCTATTAACCGACAGTTGACCTCTCACTTCAAATTACCATCACCCCTCTGTAAGTCGTATTTCACAGTACCCACCTTACCTTTTTCTCTACCCTTGTGTCTGTCTGCCTCTTTAAAATCTGTAAATCACCTTTCTGTTCTCTCTGTCGACATTTTCTCATTTTGGTGTTCCTCCCCTCTGTGAAGCTCGAAGTCAACTAAAGGCCTAATGATAGCTATCACTAAACCTGTTTAAGTTCTACAGTGCTCAGCACAGATCAAATGTTTTGTGTTAATTTTGGTTGATTATTATTCCTCACTAATGGAATATCTCCGAACTCTGCTTGTAGGATTCAGCCTAAGCCAAGACAGAATGTCCAAAAAGTCAAAAACCACCTAGGGTAGACCAATATTATGCATTTACCTTAGAATAAGAAAATGAAACTTAGATTAATCAACGTAGGTAATATGAGACCACTCTTCTTTCCACTCAACGTTCTAATAATAATTAAATCTTAATTAAGGTTTATATTAAGTCATCATTTTGCAATCAAGTTTATTGGGTCTTTTTATCTAAATAAACCTTGTAATATTTTTGGTTTCATAAATTTGATACTTATAAGTAAATTTCCGGTTATATTTTGTTATGTAAACCTACTTATTAAAATCAAAACCGGTGTTCTAGTGATTAGACCAGCTTATTGATGAGCTCCGTGACACAAGTAGTTAAATAGGTCAGTATTAATTTTAAATATTTTAATTTATATGTTCCAACAAAATATGCGAATAAATACTTAAAAAGCCAACCTTGCAAGTGCTACTGAAGTGATTCTCTCGGCTTTGAAAAGAGAATAGCAATTGCATATGCTTACGTTGATAACATAAATATTTAAGCTGAGATCACAATGAGGTTAAATCTCAAGTCGTGCGAAAGAAAAAATGCTAAAGTCACCATATTAAGTAATAATTTCAATAAATTCAATTATTTTTCTTCTGGATTGCTTCATGGTTCACTAAAAGGACTGGAATGAGTAGCAGCTCAAATTAAATCGGTTTTAAAACACCTTAGAGACTTGGTGTTTTACATAAGCATAGGTTTGGCTCGTGCAAATACCACAAGGTAAGGAGCTACATTTTGTGGTACGAGATAGTTTTTTACTTAGTTACTCAAACAGATTATGGATATTAAGAGCATGGACAGGAATATCATTTGTAAAAGTGGTGGGTAAATATAAACTTTGGCTATTATAGTGGTTGGAACTTTAAAATTTTCATAAAGATCGCCAACTTCTATTTTGATTGTGATAGTTGTACATGAAAAATTGTTGGAAAAAAACTGTATAGCCTATACAAACTAATCGCTATGAAACACAATAAAAAGCTTTCAATTCGAAACAATTAAATTTTACTCCACAATCTAAGACGAGATTAAAACTCCAACCTTCACTTTAGGAAAAAAAGAAAGTAAGCAGCAATTTAGACTGAGCACTAAAAACTCGTATGAAATTAATTTTTATAAATTAAAAAGCCCTCACGACTGGACCGATGCAGAAAGCCACCAAATTAAATTTTCCTTCGCTTCAGCAAACAGTGTTCAATAGGAACTAGCTAAATGATTTCGCATATAACTACATTTTTGTTTAGATGGACGAATTGCTCAATTAGGTAAGTACGACGCCATCATCCAGACTGAAAAGAGAGTTTTAGGCATTTTCTTAAGGCAATAATTTACAATAATTATATCAAATGCTATGTAAGTCCGATTCACAAGCTACGATTTTTACTAAAAAGGAACTAATTATTTTCTATTACAAATATTAAAACAGGAGAAACAATCATTTTCTCAGCAAAAATATAAATTCGATTTCTTGGGAAACTGAAGGTAGATTATTTATAATGTAACCAAGAGCAAAAAATCCATCTTTAATTTGTTGATGACTACCTTCATTATAAAGGGCACTAACTATTCAATTACGGAGTAAAGCGTTGAACATATAGTTCTAACTTTGGTTTCATTATGGTTTGTTTTTTTCTAAGAAACTGAAGCTTACTTATCGGAGTAAATATCTAGTATAGGCCGAAGGCATAGTGGTTGTAGACAATTGCTACGCTAGTAGAGTCACATCGATCTGCAGAAATAGGCCTCCTGGTTGAGCCAATTAAATGACAAAATGGCATTAGGTTGACTTTGATAATAAAGTAATGGCATACAAAACAGATAATATGACAATCAAAAATAGAAACAGCTATTTTGAAAGGTAAAAATAGCCAGAAATTTAAAAGAAAAGCGCATACCCATTGTTGATTAAGCACCAAAATCTGAAAAAAATATACGAGTGGATAATTTTAATTTTGAGAACAAATTATTAATACCGAATCAGTTAAAGCTAGATAAACTCTGCTAATCAATCTTCAGAAATTAATAAAAATATAAAAAAATAATCTAGGTTTATATTCAATAAATTAAAATAAAATAGGTTTTAACAACCAAAATAGCATGAATCTTATAAATAAGCTCTTTTAAAAATATTTCACTCTAAATAAAATCAAAATCTTAATTCATGAAGTCCTTACAATTGCATGAATCCCCCTCGTTCGCAGAGGCAAGAGAATCCGTAGTACCGCTTATATTTTGACCTACTTGCTTAGCCGATTTAAACTAAAGTGTGTTAGAAACGATTCGTCAAATATAAAATAAATCTAAAACATACTCGATTTGAAATAATTTAAAAACTAAAATACATATTATTGTAAAGTTCATGGCTTATGTTGAAATGATTTATTTGTCGCAAAATGAATATATTATTATTATATTTTCAATCATATCTTATAAATACACAGGTATTCCCACAGCAAATCCTACACAACTTTAGCTCTCTTTTATTTGATTTTTGCATAGTGACATTTATGACATTTCTGTAGCGCTTTTCGATTGATTTATTTAGAATATCGCAGCCATTTTATTATTAATTCTTTCTATTTAAATAAAATCAATGTCGCATCGATTTCGTAAACTACTTTAATCCTTAAAGAAGAAATTGTTGAATTATAGTCAAATTTATATCCACTATAGCCATATATTAAAAACTGAGGTTTAAACACTTTTCACATATTATAATTACATGGTATATAACCATTACAAAATTCAGTATTTTGCAAATGTGGGCGGTTAAGTAATTAAGCGAGTTCCTTTCGGACGAAATTAAATATTTTGATACCAAAATACGCTTCAAGTGGAAGTTTAAAATATTTCGGAAATTATATGTGTTGAACGATTCACGTCAATACCTACTAAAATGGTTCAATTTTGTAGAATAAGTATTTGATTTATCGGATGTATGAAAAAGGTTATGACCAGCACTCTGCTTTAAGATAAAATAATAAGCTAAACATAATTCGTAACTTGTAGAATTCCGTGAGAAACGAAATTATTGATCTTCCACTGGAAAATTTTGCAAATGCCAGTTTCTGTAGATCCCTTTTATTTCCAAAAAGCTTTCACAAGAATACTGTTGGCTGCAAATAGAAAGGGAACATTATATCAGAATCTAGCTAATCTAAAAGCATTTATTGACTAAACAAATAAAAATTTGACGGGAATAGAAAGCGTCAAGATATTATTGTCGGAAGAACGATGCACACACACACACACACACACACACACACACACACACACACACACACACACACACACAAATAATAGAAAAATACTCATTGTATTTCGATATAAAAGTAAAAATTATTATTAAATGTCCAAACAAGTAAATTGCAAGAATTACTTGAAAACATATTATTTTATGATAATATATAATTGTGTTCACTAAACATTTCTAATTATCTTGCCATTCTTTTAAAATTGTAACTCGTTTTGTGAAAAACTAATCAATTAATGGTTTATATAAACATAAGTAAATACAAGAAAGTGCGATTTCAGCACAATGTGTTCCAAGAACTGTTGTCTCAAAGACAACAAATGCCCGTTTAGAAGCAGGCTGTTGTAAACATGGATTTAAAAACCTTGCTTAGATTAAATAAAGATAATTCAGCAGTATTGTTAAAACAAACTTTAGATATAAAATTTTTCTTGAAAAGCCCAAAAAATTGCCATTTTAGTTTTGTTTCACTTGGCTGCCATTACATTGTTGGCGGCTTATTTGCGGCTTTCTATTCGTATAGGTTTTCTACTTATTAATGACAACTATACGCAAAAAACTGGTGATAGTTGGCGATGGTGCTTGTGGAAAAACTTGTCTTCTTATAGTCTTCAGTAAGGATCAATTTCCTGAAGTTTACGTTCCCACCGTCTTCGAAAATTACGTAGCTGACATCGAAGTCGACGGCAAACATGTAGAACTTGCGCTTTGGGATACAGCTGGTCAAGAAGATTACGATCGTCTCCGTCCTTTATCTTATCCTGATACCGATGTCATATTGATGTGCTTCTCTATCGACAGGTGGGTTCATATTTCTCACTACAGCCTGTGTGTCTTTGCGCTTTCTATCTAACTTTTCATATCTTTGCCTATTCTATGCACATAACGTCGCTTTATAGGTATTTTTCCCAGTTAATAATTGACTGCCCTATTTTGCATGGCGACTTCATAACTTGTTCTTCGTTTTTTGCAGTTGCTACCTCGCATGATGCAAGTTTTTACCTACATATTTGTTTCATTGCTCTAACCTAATAATAGAAAAATTTCGGTTGATGTTTTACTTGGCTCTAGATTAATGCCGTTTTGTTTGCAGTTTTTGGTTGCTTTTTTTTTATTTTTCTAAATCGTCTTTTTATTACTTTTCTTCATATAAAGCACTGACAGTTTGGAAAATCTTGCTGAAAAGTGGTGTCCGGAGGTAAAGCACTTCTGTCCGAACGTACCCATTTTGGTTGTGGGTAACAAACGTGATCTTCGCGATGACGATGTGGCCATTCATGGTCTCACTAAGATGCGACAGGAAATTGTCCAACCCGAGAGATGTAGAATGATGGCCGAAAAACTAAGTGAGTGTCTCAATGATTTTGTTCTTCTTTTCTTACCAGTTCTATACTTTCAACTTTGTTGCTGTAGATGCCTATGCTTACCTGGAGTGCTCTGCCAAAACAAAAGACGGAGTCAGGGAAGTGTTTGAGACAGCTGCTAGAGCGGCTCTCTACACGAAACGAAAAGGCAAAAAGACGTGTGATACGCTCTAGATTCCTACCAATGACTTGACATTTCCTCGCATTCTCTCCCTCTCTTTCTGAAGGCCTTTTAATCCTTCCCCCCTCCCACTCCATGTGCGTTTCTTCGACTCGAATTTTGTGTGGGCGTGTGGGTCTCAATTTTCTTCGTATGCATGTTTTCTTTCATTTGCATGCACCTATCTTATCGTTTTCCCTATTTCCCTCATTCTTTCAGAATCTCGGAACTTTTAATTTGGTTAATGCGAGATAATCTCTCTGCCTTTGCTTCGCTGCATTTGAAACAACATCTCTTTGATCACAGAGAGTTTTATACTGTAATCTATGGCTTATTCTTTTCTCTACATGCACCCACACAAACTCGTTTATCATCTCCTTCTCTGTTCCCCTATTTCGGCGACTTGCATTTAAGTCTTCCATCTGGCGCTCCCGCACTCACTAGGTAAAAAGCGGTTTTGTATGTTTTGGTAGTCCTCTTCTCATTTTCGCAAGCTGTTCTCTCATCGATCTCTCAAATTCGCTTTCAGTCTTCTCCATTCGCCGCTGATTACCTTCTTTGTGTCTTATTCGACTTGCTTGTCTCTAACTTCGTGCACATATGCCATATATATTTGGAAAGGAAATGGCCGGCGCATGTCAAAAATGCGATGGTTCCTCTCTTTTTCAAAGAGTGTTTGTTTTCTGTCTGTTTTTAACTTCATGTTTTCCCGTCTTTTTAAATGCTTCACATTGTTTGTCAGCTGTGCTGAGTCTCCTATCTCTCACTTTCTTCAATCTCCCACACAAGTGCATTGTCAACGCATCGTAATAATTTGACATTTCATCTGATATATAACGAATAATTGAATGCTCTTTCTCAAATGTTTCATCTCCTCAATGTGCTTTTATTGGTTTATTATCCGGTTTGCCCCCTTGGATTAGGTTAATGGTAGCAGTGGTTTGTTTATTTTGCTAGTAGCAGTTTTCTCCCTACTTTCACTTGCTTTTGCTGCAGTGTGCGTTAGGGGTCGGTGGATAGCGCATTCTCGTTGGTTTGCTCGCGTTTACTTTTGCAAATGTCCAAAATGCTGTTTCCCAAAAATGCATTGGCCAAAATCTCCTAGCTGTGTAGGGTAGACGAGCCTCGCTCGACTGTGTGTTTATTCACCTTATCAACCTAGCCATTGAATATTTGTGTAATTATGACTTCCTTTTGAATCGTCTCTAACTATTCATTTCCTTGCTGTGATATGACTTGGTTTAAGAGTTTATTGGGGTACCGCGTTCTACAAGATGCTGGTACTTTGAATTAAGCCTAGTGAAATCCGCTTTTGGTCCTGAGCCTACGTTGCTGAGTGCTTCAGCTGCTAAAATTCCCAGAAGGAGGCCTTCACCGTCCACGGCGTTTTCTTATTTTAATAAAATGCATTTGATTGTCTATGTTTTGATTCTTCCCCCAAGGGGAAAATATTGGCAATCTGAAGTAGAGGAAACCTAATCTGTTAATTTGGTTGATCCTTCTCCCATCGGGGTTCAATTTCGGGTATTCAATGATGATTACAAATTTCGGTATTAGATTACATTTGGAAAGTTAAGCTTAGATTTTAGTAATTGTCATCTTATCCTCTAACATGGCGTTTTCTTATTAGAGGAGCGCTCGAATTTCGCGTTAGAAACTATTTGTAGTAGAATATAGACAAATAACTTAATAAAGTTCTGACTTTCAAATTGGCGTTTAAATTTCCAGGCCAATTAGGGATAGTGCTAATACCAGTTAACTGAGATAGGGATAGGTTATCATGGAGTCTTTTTTTGTGAGAACCTCATATTCTGCCATCTCAGAATTAACCAGATCGGTTGCCTATGTATTGTCTGTATTTTGACTACGTTCATTTGATTTCCTTCACTTCATAAACTGTCCTAGGTTTTATGCCTACAATTTACCCCTATCCATAGGTAGACATGTTCGGTGGTTGAACTACACAACGCTAAGGCCTGAATTATTGGATGTGAGGCCTATCGGCCAATGCCAAGTGAGCGAAGTTAGCAGGTGCGCTAGTTAGATCAGTCTCCAAGCCGGCTTCACGAAACTCTCTTTCCAGCCAGGTTAAGCATGGTGACTCGTTTCTCTAAATGATCACGAAAGCTATACGGTAAGATAATAAGGTGTATCCTCCCCATTGTTCAAAGTAATAGTAAAAATTATGATCGACTTTTGAATTTTACAATTATTTTGAAAATTTTTATCAAATAAAATCATTTCTTTGTCTCCATTCGCGTATGAGAATATCCCGATCAGGGGCTTTCTATGAGTTAGAATTCTGTTAGATTATTCTCTGTACTTTTTGACTGCGGCCGTGGCAAGTGTAACTGTCTGTTAATGTATTTATTTATATCAAATGGCAGGCGTCTTGATGGT